TGCTGATTTAGCAGTACAAAAATAATTTAAATGATTTATGATTATATGTACATAAATCTCAATATTAATTAAAGTTTTCTTATTAGTATATGCCACTAATAAAGAAGTTATCTAAAACAATATTTTAGCTTTTATGAAAGTAATTCACATGAATTAAGATAAGGGTTATGCAGATTACCATAGTTTCTGCTTTAATAGATGAAGGAATAAAATATTGTCATGTCTTTGGAAGTTAATTTAGGTGCTTAATTGCTGGTTTAGATCATCTGAAATCCATTGAGCATTCTCAAGAGCCTAAAACTTTAATGAAACAACACCTCTCTTTAAATTTTTTGAGGATGTTTGAGCATTGCTTTAGCCTATGACTGAAATAATTACACAAATAACAAGATTCCTTTTATAACTCTACTGGTTTAAAACAGAAATTTCATCCAGTATGTTGGTCCTACATTGCAGTTTTTCCATGACTCATTGTCAGCATGAGAAATTTAAAAAAAAATGGCGTACTCTCTTTAAGATAATACTATAGTTATTCTTACTGAGCTTACCCCATTCTTTTAATGACTTTTCTAAATTCAATTTTTTTCTCAATACACATTTTTTTGAATATACTCAACTGTTAAATTTTCATATAATAATGGCAAGGCTTCCACCCAATTATTTTTAACGGATAAAGTTACACCATCAGCATCTGTATAAAAATTAATACTCATATTATTATAAGTGCTGAATTGCAGAATGAAATCTATAAAATTTTTTAACTTTTAAATGCTTCTATTAACATAACTAAAATGTTGACTCTATCACATATTCTAGTAAGTATTAAAAAAGTATCCATGGTTCAATATTATTTTCTTTCATGCCTCTTATTAAAAATTCTCAATAAAATGCTTAGGATAACTTTTGATGACATAATCTTTAATATTTAGATTGAGTTGAAGGATAACAATGCATCATAGGTTGTAATAATAATGAAGAAATATTTATTAAGACAAACAAAAAAATGTTTATTAAGACAAATAAAGAAAATGTATATTAAAACAGAGGGCTAGAGACTCTTTAATATCTGGTTTGGTTCATGAATTTATTTGGATATTTACATAGGATTGTGAGAATTATTGAGATCCAACATGTGGAAACATCACCAATTATATGCTTTATATTAGTATATCCAAGAAACTCTTGTGAAAATTCACACAGTATATGTATGTATGTTTTAGATGATGCCTTTTATTTATATTTTTTAACATCATAAAATTTTAATTATTTAAAATATATTTTGGAAGAAAAAGTAAGGTGAAGTTAAAAGTTGATCAGAAAAGTGGTGATTAATATTTAATATTATTAATTTTTATAAGCCTCACTTTGTTGGCAAAGTCTTATTTACATTTTATTAGCAAAGCCTTTACTTGCTTTTAATAGCTAAGCATTTATTTAGATCAAAGCCTTATTTTCATAATATTGGTAAAGCCACATCAAATTGGTACAAAACTTAGATATAGATGCTGATAAATGGACAAATCACATGACCCATCAATTGATGGTATCTTCATACAGACCTAATTATCCCAATTAAAAAGTTTCTGACTTTTAGTCATTTAATAGTTTACAAATGTCAAAATTTCCTTTTTATAATTTCTTTATCATGTCCTCCCTATGAAAAAAAATCATCCAATTTTTGTACAATATTTGTTCAAGTCCGTGTGGAAATTGTACAATTATTGCAGATTTTTGGATAAAAATAGTTATGAAGTTTTTCAAAGCATATTAAAAGTATGCAATTTTTGTACAACTTAAATTTAGAATATAGAAAATGTTCAATTTTTGTGTGATTTTTATACAACTTAAATTTAGGATACAGAAAACATTCAATTTTTGTACAATAAAAATTGTGATTATTGTACAACTTGAAAATAGACTTAAATTTAGGATACAGAAAGCAATTTTTGGGTAATCCTATTATACTACTTTCCATCTTACCTGTATGGTTACATTTGACCACTTTTAGGGTCGAATAGACCACTTTTAACCATTACAAATAGATTTTCCTAAGTAAAGTGATTTATGCAGTAAAGTTACACAAAATTCAACCGCATATTTGCTTATAAACGGGCATCTTCCGGACCCATTGGTGAAATTTTTGTATCATCTTGTAACTAAAAAAAAGTCAAAAACTTTTTATTAGGTTACACAATTAGTTCTGACCGGAATTATAATTTGGCCAGAATTATGCGGTGAAAATCAACTCCTAAAATTATATATGTTGGTCACGTGATCTGATCGTCAAAATAAATATGATGACGCGAAATGTTTTTGTTTATGTTTTTTTAACCTTTTAACTTTTCTTCAACTTTCTTTTAAAATATTAGGTAAGAAAAACTTGTGTTCTTTATCTTTTTATTTTCCTAACTTTTTACATTTTAATGTTACTAACTTGCTTTCTTCACTAACTTCATACTTTTTTTTAATTACTAATACTAATAATTTACTTTTTAACACTACTAATTTGCTTTCTTCACTAACTTCATACTTTTTTATTTCTAACACTAATAATTTACTTTTTAACACTACTAATTTGCTTTCTTCTTTGATGATACTACTAGCTAGCCTGTCATTATCAAGAAGAATTAATAAGAATAATTTGTAATTATGATTAGAATATAAAAACTATAAACATAAATAATTGAATAGTATGCCAAAGAAATACGGTATATCAATAAAAATTCTAAAGAAAGATTACATCAAAAGAATGTTCTTATGATGGCATGATAAAGTAAGCTCTCAAAGATGAATTTTAAATTCTTGAACATTAAATAATCAAACAATTTCATTGGCACATGATAAAATTGATACTAATATTATTCAATGAAAGGTATTCTTTATTAATAATTTAATATTGATAATTATTGATAATGTAATAATTACAATATCATTAATGATATTAAAACGGTGAATATGCTGAAAAATATATATAATAGAAATTTAATATGAATTAAGATTTTGGAGGTATTGAATAATTGTTATTAAATCCAGGACATAAACAGTTCCATATTAATATTGAACAGTCAATCATATCATACAACTTGTCAATTACTGTGCATGTAATCTAAGAAAAGTTTTATTTGTCATACAACATATCACTTTATTATTATTACTATTTTAATTTAAACAAAGAGTATAAATAAATCTTCCTGATGAAGAAAATAGAGCGCTTGATAACTTTTGAAGGTTAACATTTAAATTTTCAGTTTATATGTTCAATAAATATAATAATATTAATTCTTAAGTTGAAAAATAGTCGATCTATTGTCAATGTAGAATTTAAACAAATTAGGATTATTATATAAGTAAACATTGGGTAACGCTGTCAACTTTATTTATACCAGCATAAAAATACTGCGCTTACTTTATATTAGATCCCATTCGATAACTTGTGCTCTATTAACATTTAAGTAATTCTAAAATTTACAACAAACAAACAAATAATAAATAAAAACAGAACGCTTCTTGGTTTTACATGTGACTCACATAGTACCAATAAAATATATTATTAATACAAAAAGGGTAATTTTTATAGTCATGTAAATTGTGCGACGATTGTGCGACCATCATGCGGCTAATTATTCTGGTAAATTACTACGCATGAAAATTTACAAGATTTTCACTGGCAAAAAAATATTTTTTATATCAAATACCACATATATGGAATCTAGTAGTAATCTAGAATTTAAGAAAAGAAGCGATAATTATGTTAAATAATTATAGTTGATTGGTTAATAATTTTCACATACTGCGGCAAAGCTTAATGAAATAAGTAAGAACCGTTAACCGGAGTTGTACAAACATTCTGCTTATGCCCCTTTTACTATTAATTTTTAATTTTTATTTTATTTCATTTTTATTTTTTATTTTATTTTATTTTATTTTTTTTAAAAAAAATGATTTTATTAACCATAAAATTTATTTTTCTAACAATTCTGATCTTTCTTGACTTTATAATATATTTGTTGCCTATGTATATATTAGGTCTGATAATAAATTTAATAATAACGTTAATTTGGTATTTGCCTTTTATATATCAATTTTATTCATTCATTTTTACAACAAAAGAATATAATTTAAGAACGAAAATTTACTTATTATTATTTTCGCCTATAATTATAATTTTATATATTCCATTCTTTATAATATATTCCGTAATATATGGAATATTTATTTCATTGATCAATCCATTAATAACAATTATACAAAGACCTGAGTATCCAATTCATTCGCTGTCTTTAATCGCTGCAATAGTAAGCTCGATTTATAAATATATAAATGGTTACCCTAAAGAAGAAATTTTATTAGATTTTTTGTTATCAGAAAAAATCAAAGATATTAAACATTTTATTAAACAATATTGGAACTTTCTTTATTTCAAATATCCTGAAAAAATTAAACAATCTACCAAATCATATCTTGGCGAATTAATATTTTCATTAATCATTTATATTTCAGAAATCTTAGATTTTTTTATCATCTTACCAATTTTTATTATGATAATTATACCATACATAATTGTATCCGTATTAATTTTAGCAACTTATGTATCAATAGTTACATCATTTAATATTGAGTATAACCATTATAATAAATTTCTTTATATATTATTCATTATTTCTAGACCATTTATTTTTTTACTTACACTTATTATAACCAATTCATATGGTTTTTATTGGGAATTTAAAACAATATTAGGAATATTTTATAAAATATTTGATTTTTATAAAAATAATAATAATGGATTTTATGATGTTATAAACCTGTTTTGGGTTATTATTATCTCTCCTTTTTCAATTTTTGAAAATTTTTTTTATATGTATTTTAAAATTAATTTAAGTTATAAACATGAATTTTGTGAATTTTACCCATGGTAAAAATTGTAATACTTAAAAAGTAAATGTAAAAGTTATGCATTTATTAAATAATACTGATTTTATTAAATTTCAGTGAATAAAGTTGCTATGTTATTAACCATATTTATAAGAGAGTTTATTTTTAAAATTTTTTTCTCTCACATTAAATTTATAAAATTTTCCTTTGCTCTTTTTCTTTTCGCTTTTAATAAAATCATCTCTTATCTTTCTCTTTCTATTTCTATCACTCTTTTTCTCTTCCTTGTTCTCGTTCTCACCTCGAATTGATTGAAAAGTTATAATAGGTATATAATCACTATATAGAAAAGAATCAAAAGATAAATAACTAACATAATAAGGGTTACTTTCTCTAGATTTGGAAGATAAAAGTATATATTGAGCATATATATCTTTAACAGATTGAACATATAAAGGTAAAGGTACATCGATAGCTTTAAAGAGAATATCAACTTTGTTATTATCAATTTCTTCATTATTATTTTTAAGACGCCGGGCTATTTTCCTAGGCGGTGGATGAGAAGGCGGATCAGAAGGTAGTGGATGAGAAGGCGGATCAGAAGGTAGAGGTTGAGAAGGCGGATCAGAAGGTAGAGGTTGAGAAAGGCTACTAAAAAAATTTAATATATTAGAATGATCCACTTCAAATTCATGTCTAAAATTTGCTTCTTTGGATTCACGTTGTTCAACATATTTCATCAAAGAATCTAACATATGTTTTCTATACTCTAACCAAGTCTGTAAATTTTCTCTTGATAAACCGCAATATTGAGAATATACAAAATCTATTTGTTCTTTCCAATAATGTAATTTATGAACACGGACGCATGGCATAATACTAAGAAATTTGTATGAATACTTAATTTCAGAAACCAATCTAAACAAACTAATATTTTATTTATTATTTTTTTTTTAGAAAAAAAATGAAAATTAATATCATTGGCAATATTGTAAACAAACTTTATTATTTGAAGGTTTTTATTAAACTTACCTTGATGTTTTTTTCAAAAAACATTTTTCACAACATCTAACTTCAAATTCCCAATAAATTTTACATTCTTTAGTTTTTTTACAAATTTGACAACCTCGTTCAGTAATCAATAATCTAACATATTTTTCTTCACTCATTCCTTCAGGTGGAGGCATGTCTTCTTTTGGCATAAATTGTAAACGAGATATTTTCCATATTTGTTGAGTGGAAAAAGAATTTGGTGCATATAAATATCCACGAAATTTGCGACAAACTTGAGAAAGATTAAATAAATCATTTGGTGATAAAAACGTACAGAATTTAGCAAAGATTTCAGGTGGAATAAATTGCATTTTGATTAAATTTCTTCTAAAAAATTAAGGAACTTTACTTTTATATTTTGCAGATTTATTTAATGGTTTACGTAATGTTTGAATGACAGTATTACTTTATTTGGAAGACTACAAAGATCAAAAATCCAGTGTAACTACCCTGCATTTTTGGCGCTTCATAGGAACACAAAGCGCTTCTAAATAGAAAATTAAGTCGATCATTAGTTAAAAAAAAAAAAATCGAGAAAATCATCCACTTGGGTAAAATCCAATATCAAATATCGAAAATCGAAAAATAAATTTATTATTGTGCTATTAATAATCTGTTCCAGATGATACTGTATATCAAAGATTCCGCTTTAAGTTTTCAAAGATTCGGTTTATAGAGACTGCCTGTGTAAATTCTTAATATATTTGGATTTTCCTAAACAATTTTTTCAAGATCATTAATCTGCTTCAGTAATTATGATCTAACATTACTTAGTTAATTAAATAAATAATAATACTAATAAATAAATAAATACACTGGATCATCCATTCCATTGCGACGGGATGGTTTTTTTTTATTAATAACTAAGTAAATTGTTAATAATTAAAAGAAATTCTTTTTTTCTTAGCAATTATGATTCTTTTTATTTAACTTATCACATAGCTGGGTAACTTTAGTCAGGAACCTACAAAGAATGAATTCAATATTAAAGTTCGGACTATGTACTCCAATTAGCTCACTTGACTCGAATCATGACTGCCCTTTTCAAGTCTGAAAAAAGTTCTCCAACATAATGGCCTCATTCTTAAATGTAGGTTGTTGTCTTAAAGTGAATAATATTTTAATGTATTCATGAAACGATAAATGTAATCTTATTTCAATTGTATTGGATAAAAGTAATTTTAAAGATTTTAACATTTCTTTTCTGAGAATTTTAAGTTAAATGATATTATATTAATGGTAGAATTTATTAAATACACCAATATATTATTATACTGTATATACTGAATGTAATTAAACTAATAACGTTATACTAATATATAAGATTTTGGAGAAAATTATTTAATAATTTATCCCAATATCACTATCATTATCATAAAAGAATTCAGACTAATCACATAAATTTCTACAAAAATTTCATTTAATATTGGAAAATTATTAGGAATTAACATTTCTGTTTTTCAGCAGATCTAACACTATTATTAATGACTTGTAAAATAGTTCCTTTAGTTTTTTTAAATTAATGATTCTAATCCATGAATGTTATGAAGTTTAAGTTCTAGAAATTCTGAAATGGGAAGAAATTTCTGCAATTCTTTGATGATAATTTAAGCTATTATAAATGACAAACAAATAAAAACTTCTTAAAAATGCGGCTTTTTGGCGTAATATATTCTTCAGTTGTTTATCATCCTCTTCATAAAAGTCCATTGAAAATTGATAGAAGACAGTCTATAATTCTATATTAAGTTCTATAAATTTTAAACTTGCTAATAATTTATTATCAAACTTAAAAAGTTAAATAATCCTTTTTAATATAATAAAACCATTTTCTTTTTGGACCAGTATTTTAATTTTGTTAAAGAATACATATATAGAAATATATACTATTAGTAATTTGACTTTATTCATCGAACGTAAGTGCCAAAGTAAAAAATTTTCAATAAATAAACTTTAATTATAATTTGTTCTAATATATAACATTTTTAATATTGTTTTTTGATGAGTCATGGCATTTGGTTCTTATAAAAATAAAATTTCAGTAGATAGTAACTCTTCACTATAAAGGTTTTTCAATAAATGGTGAATAACAGTTATTAGAAGCAATAGAAATTATATAGGCAATTGATTTAAGTAGTGTAGGTTCTGTTGATGTATTGGTAATAACATCTGATACTTGCAACCACCCATGATTCCCTATTATTCCTCTTTTAAGAAACCATGTTTGATCAAATGTTGATAAAACTCCATAACTATAAAAAAATTACATGTTTTAAAATTCATTATAAAATTAAATATAAAATGAAGAAGATAAAAATTCTTTGAAATTCTTACCATAATCTATTTGCACACATATATCCATAAATTTGATTTATGGGATTATAAGCTGAAGTTTCTTTTATACCTACAAATTTTCTCTCTCGAATACCTTTTTCTTGAAGATAAAGTTCCACTATATTCTTATTAAATGGTACTTTTAAAACCCATTTGGTTTTATATTCAAAGGGTATAAGTACTTTATAATTTTCATCAACTACAATGAAATCTGGTTCTCCAGCCATATATTTCAAAGCACGACCATCTAAAAAGCAAATTGATCTATCTAGTGGTGTCAAAATATCATGAATATTTATTTCTGATGCAGTCCAGATATCTTTTTCACATGTAATTATACGTGATCCAAATATTGGTTTTTTGTATTTCTTATCTACACATACTGATTTCCATAATTGCACTTTTTCTTTAAAATCCTTCCAGATTGAAATCTTATCAGGAAATCGTCGTTCAACAGATATAATACTTGAATCTGATTTATTATGTCTTAATTGAGGATAAACCAGATTTGGTAATGTATTTTGAATAATTTCTTTTAAAGAAATTTCTGAAAATTTATAAGAACTAATTATAATGTTCAGTATTATTAACATACAAGAACTAAAATTAAAACCTACTAGCAGAGGCTTCATTACTAAGCTTAAGACTTTTCTTTAGGTTGTCATTTCTATTAATATTACTTTTTTTAATAGGAATAGAAAGAGTAGCAGTACTAAGAGTTAAGTTTTGACTATTTGTTTCATTAATATTACCACTTTTAGCAGAAATAGAAGTAGTAGGGTTAGGAGTTAAATTTTCTTTTTCGCTACACTTTTTTCCATATTTTTGTAATAGAAAATAAAAAGTTTTAAGTAAGATCCCTTATTATAAAAAAGGTATATAGCTGGCTCATCTTACAGAACTGGTAGATCTTAATCAAAGAACCTCATGGTAAGATATGCAAGCCAAAGAAGCTCTTTATCTGAGCGCTCTTCTTTCCCAGGTTCATTAGCACATGTATAATACACTTACTATTTTTCATTAATGTTTTAAATATAAAAGCACTACTAACCTTTAGTTGATGTTTTAACACCAAAGTCTTATTACTTTTGTTTGCTCCTGATTTTAGGTATTTTGTTAAAATATCAAGCTTATTATCTAAATCATTATGCAATTTCCACTTAGATATTGCATCAGAATATGTTTCAAAGTAGGATAGTTCCCAAGTATTTCTTCTCCAGTGTGTGTATGGAATTTTCCAGTAACTTCCATGCCAAATTTTGTACAAAATTTCTTCTGATAACATTATAGGTACAGTAAAAAAATGTAAGAACAAAAGCTGAAACATTGTTACAGCATTACAAAAATTAGGCCATTTTGCTTGAAACATATAAATCAATATGAGCCATATTTAATCATATGGTGTCATTTTTGTCATTTTTTCAATTTAAAAAAAAATAATTGCACTGCAGCTTGGTATCTACATTTATAAGATTAATACAGTGTATCATTTCACAGACTGATACGACCTTACAAATTACCATTTTTAGTTTTTCTGAAGCAATAACAAGCAGCATCGTAAAGAGTTCATTTTAATTTATTGCGCGGATTCTCAATAACCCTTCATCTTTATTACCACTGCCTGCAAATTATCTCTTTGTAAATACTTCTTTAGCATCTAGCGATCATACGGTAACATCTTAAACAATTCGATCAGATTCATATTATTTACTAGCTCGATATCGCATAATATATAACATCCGCATTGTAGACTGTAAGTCTATTTTTCGGAAAGCTCTACCATAGATCTAATGATTTAACCGATGCCACCTTGTTGATTAGGATAGAATCTATTATAAATTAAGAAGCGTCTGATGATCCTATTTTAGTGATGCGATCATATTCCTTCATCAAAGATTGATTCCAAAATCGATCCTTCTCACTGCAAATTATATAAAAAGGTGAAGCTTTAGCAAATCCTTTTATCCGCCTTTGCAAGAGCGAAAAAATTAATAAATTTAATCAAATTTACCATTATTTACATTGTCATTAAATGAGCAAGTATATTCCCAAAGAATAATCTAGAAAAGCATCATCATGATGCTAATTAATTTTTCTGGCTTTATAGATATGCCACGAAATTTGCCATATTATATCATATCTGAATTCTACTATAGATTTGGGAATGCGAAAATAAATAAAAAGAACTAATATACAACATTTGATTCTATGCAAAATATTAAAACTATGATATTCTATCTCCACACAGAATAATTCTTTTTTTCGGATTTGACTTTCATTTACCTTAGATAAGCTCTTGATTGATGGTTATTATGACGAAATAGTAAAAAACTGTAATTTATCAGTACGTTGAAAAAATGATTAATATGAAAATTGCTTCTCAGGGTATTTATAAAAAAGTGAACTAATGTTACGTAATTCTCTGGTGATCTGATCGTACGATTGACCGTCTGGTCGTTGATACTTGATATTGATCACCACTTCAACTTTAATAATGAATTATAGCCGTCTTGATAAGTAATGTATATTTTTTAAGTTTTTGGATCCAAAATATACGATGAACATCTAAATCTATCAATCATATAGGTTATTAAATTGGCTTTGTCCTATTTCATTATCAATATTATTTGTAGTCAATGTTCGAAGTTGGTAAAAGTGTTCTAGTGAAGTGAAAGAAAATTTTAAGAATAAAAATACGAAAACACGTAAATTTAAATTTTTTCAATAAAAGTTCGTGTTTACTATTTTCTTACTTTTTTTAAAAAAAAATAAAATTTATTATCATTTTATTGTTTTTAGTTAATTAAATCTTTCATGTAATTAATAAAATTGGTTGATACAAATAAGAATTCAATAAATCCTATATGAAAAAATTTTGAGGTTAAAAATTAAATGAGTATAATTTTGGAATCTTGGAACTAGGGATAGGAATCGATTCTATTTTTGAGAATCGATTATAGAATCAACTAATCGCGATTAGTCGAATCTCAAGATTCGATTTAAAAATTCGATTTTTGGTTTCGATTAATCGATTCTAATCGATATTATGTACATAAAAATCATGAATCGATTTTTTTTTTATTCTTTTAATATTTACTTATACCAATCAATAGGGAATATACGCGTTTATAGGTTTTGTACCACATTGTAACCAAAAAAAGTCTAGAACTTTTTTCTAGGTTACACGAAGTTAATTCCGGCCGAGCTTTAATGCCGGCCGGAATTAAATTTTATTTAATCGTTAAACACTTAAATTTTTTATATTATTTTAGGCCAAACATCAATTAAAACGAACGACTAGGATCATAAAAAAAGTCATAAGAATGAAAAAATAGTTTGGCTGTCAGATTCGAATTTTTCATGCGATTTTTGATTAACCGATTCAGAATCAATTTTCGATTAATTTGACTATCGCAGTATCGATTCCAATCCCTACTTGGAACTAGAATTGCAAAAAAAAGCTAATCTTCCACAATTAAGTTGATCCAATCAAATATAACCACCACACATATGTGTAGTTACTGTAATAGCAAAAATAAAAAATTTTAGCAATGATAGATTCATTGAAAATTTATAAATTTAAAAGACTGTATACATAACTGATACAGATAATCCGGATGAACCACCAGGATCCGTTAGTGATACAGATAAACCGGATGATCCGTCCTCCAATCCTCTCATTCGTATCAGTTTAAAAAATCCTATCCGGATAACCACCGTAAATGCGTCCACGGATACGGATTGCGGATAAACGGATTGAAACACTACATATAATTACTATTCCCATTAAGATCAATCTTAAATTAATTGATAAGTACGCGACGCGGCTGCATAAGATTATGAATAATGATACTAAAATTGCTGGCCACGACTAATATTAGAAATTTATAACATACCATATTATAGTTGTGTAAAAAAGTTTTTTTTTTTTTTTTTGTTCTTTGTTTACTTCTATCGAATCGCTCGGATATATTTAATGGTATTTTATCAACTTCTTTTCTTAATTGTTTTGGATAATCTGCCGGATATTCATAAAATTCAGAGTTAATAGCGTAATCCTATAATGATACTCAAGTTTGAAGGAACACCAGTAGATGTTGAATGTTTAAATTACAATTCTGATTAACGGTTAGGATTAGGAATTATGTTAATAAATAATTAGTTGGTAATATCAGTAATTTTCTGGGCATTTAGATTCTAAAAATTTCATGGAAAACACTTCTCGTCTCACAATTATAGAAACTTACTCTCAAATGGAAAAATAGACGCTTTACTTTACCAATGGAATGTACCAGAGGACGCCCTACCGAATCCTATGATGAAGAAACTGATGGTGAATGAGGTAATTGAAGAAACTCACCTTTATTTTTCAGATTTTTTGATACTTTTTCTGACGACCTAGAAGATCTTGAATTTAATCCATGGCTTAATCACTCTAGAGAAAAAATCATATGAAACCCTGAAGATGTTAAAGTCAATGTTAAAGATCCTTTGGAATTAATTCAAGAAAAAAATTATATCAAAATATAATTTATGCAAATGATACGGATTTACCTTGTTATACAGTTAAATTCTATATAAATCTTTTTATCTAATATGTGTAATCAAATTAAATATTTTCATTAGGCTAACTAAGAGATTTTTTATTAGTCGGCTTTTCTTGCATAATATTTTAACATCCCTTCATCTAATTCTAAATTATAGCGGCAAGTGTTACTTTTTGAAAGATTTGCGTCATGCAATAAGTCAGTGACAATTTTGTAAATTTTAAAAAATATTTTAAATATTTTTGCTTGCTGTTTATATGCTGATTCTCGTCAAATATTGAACTCCGCATTTAATATTTGGTAGAGTGGTAGACATTCTAGAATTTAATCTAAACCGCGCGCTAGCTAGGACCCAGAAATATATATATGTTGTAAGACCTAAGCTCGTAATAAATTACGTTGCCACCTTAGGCTTAACAAAATAATACTTTATTAATAATATAAATAGAAATAATTTATTTATCGCACGTGCGATGCAAATTTTTATGTTTATCATTGCTATTTTAAGGGGGGTGGCGATGTATAAGCAGGTTGATCAACATAAATAATTTACAAAAAAGGAAAGTGGCGATGCATCGCACGTGCGATGAATAAATTTACTCATATAAATAAATACAATATATGCTTGGTTTAACATATCCTAAATAATCATTCAAATAAATCCCAAATTCGTATCCTGAACTTTAAATTTACCCCTATTTATATAAATCTAAAAATACCTTCTCCAAGAAACATTTTGTTCCATCTCATGTTTTTAAGTCAAAAATCTAAAAATTTTAGATCTTTCAAATTTTGATCTTAATCGAACTGCACACTTCAATACTTATCATTTTTCATGTTTTGACCTAATTGTAGTTCTCTTCCACTATTCAAGTCACATGCTTCTAATTTCACCTGATCTTCTATAATTCTCTAGTTTAACGTCATCGCGGACGTTACATTTATAACGTCATACAATTTTAAACTACTAAAAATTTATACACTAATTTTAAATATAATATTGCGCCCCATCATTAATAAATTTACTAGGTATATCATGAAAATCATTCCTTTTTTAGATAATTTTGATAATGCCAGTCAGAATATTATTTCCTATTATAGTAACCGACTGACGTTATCATAATTCCGGCCATGAAAAAATGCGTGCAGCTCAATAATAAAAAATTTTTTTCTTCACCTGACCCCTATATATATATTCCTGGGTCCTCGCTAGCTTGTCGCTCGACTTGATATTCCATATCCAATAATAGAATGTGACAATTTGGGCATCTGCGTAAAGTATGCAAGCTGGTTGTACTGCTTTGATAGTTTACTGCTTTGATGAAATTAATCCAATAAAGAATCTCAATTGCCGTAAAAGGAGTTGGATAAAAGAGCTTCGTCAACTTTCGGCAGTTATCTTATCTAATGACCATATTGAAGACTATTTAAATTTTGCTGATAAATGGCCTTTCAAATCTATATTTATAACTAATGCTTAGGACTTAGGAGTAAATGCTAATTATTTATTAATGTATATTTATAAATAGAAAGGTCATCTCGATTATACTTGATTGTTTAAACAAAAGAGTAAAAGTTTTAAAGCAATATAGAATATTATTTTAAAATATCGTGTGACATCATGAAATACACATTTTTGGATTTTTGAATGAAACAGTTGACATCATACAACATATATGAATAAATATAATTATTGCAATGAATATTCATTGTGGGGTTTGAATACGATATAGATCGA